GTAAACACAGGTTCATTTTGATTACAAAACCATATAATCAACAAGATATTAGTTTCTTAAAACCTATAAAATGTAAGATAAGATCTATATTGAGTTTTAGACGAATGTATTACTTTAACAAAAAGTCACATTATTGTATTGATTAGAGAATTGAATAAGGTCATGTGTAATAATCGACATCGCAATCTTGTGCAATAATGTAGCTATCAAATTGGGTTTCAGAACATGATACCAGAATTTAATAGAGCACCGACAAAAACACAAATTCTACTCAAACTTGAACGAGAAATTGGAATCCGGTTTACTCTTGACCAGCTTTCAAAATTGGTTTGGTTTAAATAGAATCCTAGCTGAGTGTAGCTTAGGACAAAGTTATGGAAGTTAAAACAGTGAAGAGTACCTCAAAAAATGGATTAAAAAACAGAGATGTTAAAAGGAGAATTCAACCATTTGGATCCCGCGTCCCGCAACAGCGATTTGGTATCGGTTTCTGCATATAAGAATCGATTTACAGATTTGGTATATGAGATTTTTTAATGGATTATGGAAGTATATCAATGCATTTTACTTACTCATCAATGGCTTTAGCATCGAGCGCCTCTGGCTCGGGTACGCTGATGACTATATGAGCGTGCTCAATCAGTTTACCACCATCTTTTTCGAGATACCAACATCTTACACGCTGATCAAGACCTGTTGAGAACACCCAGTTCACGTCCATCCACACGCCTTAATTCACATAAAAAAAAAACCAAAAGATTCAGTCCTTTCATTAGGGAAATGGTGAAAGATAAGTTTAGTCTCGTGGATACATATGATGGATTCACAGAGAGTTTTCGAGGTAAAGTACCTTTAATGGCAGAGCTATGAGCTGATCCAATACCTCCACGGTCTGTGAGCTTGATTCTGTAACTCGGTGTTTGGTTTTGATCCATGATTTCAGATCTGTTGGCTGGACTAGGATTACTAAGGATGCTGAAGCTAAGACAACGAAGGGCTTGGTCATCACCTCCACTAATCACATTGTACATCAAACTATTTCCATCACTTGGACAACTGCTCGAGCGAGAAACGTGAAGGCAATTAACCCCAGATTGATGAGCTTTCTTCACGACATGTGAAGGCTTTATCTCACTTGTCTCGGGTGGAGAATCTGTACTTTCGTTTCCATCATTTTCCTGAGGAACGCCATTCGTGAGTTCCAAAGACGTGGCTGGATCTTCTTCTGCAGCTTCACCAACTGAGTTGGTGCAGCTTTCTTGTGTTCTCTTTGACATGTTGGCGCCCAATAGTTTCCATTTCCTACCACCTTGGCTTCCTCTTCCAGTTCGTGGTCGTTTCTGACAATCAATGAACTTCTCAATATGGAGGCTGGATACTTGCTTTACAAAAGCTTCTACACATTTGGTTACATCCCAAAAAGCTATACTTCCATCGGTGGCTCCACTGATGAGAAGATAAACATCACTAGATGATGTATTATTATTACCTGTCAGGTAAAGTTACCAAAATTGTTACGCGAGTGATATATTTAAAGAAGGTTGAATCCCTTAACTTTTTAGAAAAGAAGATTTTGAGATAGCATAATAGGGCAAGAATGGAAAAGAAGTCCAACTGATAGAGAAGTACTAATTTAAACCTTCATGTACTGGATGCAGAGGTACAACGGCGTGTTGTAATGAAAGAACTGGCGATGTCAGAGGAGCCAAAGACGCAACATCAAACCTGAAATTAGGCAACAGGTAAATTTAAAATGATGCACAGAGGAATATAGTGGAGAAGATCGAGGTAACATATCAAGTCATCAAACAAGTAAAACATTTCTTCTGGTTACCATAATCTATGTGGCAAGACTAGGGCCCGTAATGTAAGGGTGGCATCAGAGCAAGCCACACCGATAAAACAGATAGTTAACCTGAAAAGATGAACAGAAAAGATTTCAACATCGTTTATCATTTGATGGGTTCAATCAAAGTAAGCGAAGGCTGTCCCTCTAACCTGGAACCAGCACATTTTACAAGAAATGCAGTGGCAGCCATGTATCTCCAGTCATCTTCATAGTTTTCTCGCTCGTACGAACTGGATCCTAATTTTGTGACATCAGCACTAGTATCTTCTTCTAACCCTTCCAGTTTCGGCGGTTTCTCGATTTTTTTACATAGATGAGAACTTTTGGTGGGCATGTCAGTAGCAAGCCACTGGAACGTCACTGACGACACTTCCGCGGAAGCTTTATTGTGTCCATTATCACTAATAGAAAATTCTCCTGTTTTATTTTGTCTACCATTCCTTAGGAGCCAAGAGGTTACAACACGCTTGGCTCCAACAGAAATCAGTAAGCGAGGACTTTCACTATCATCCACTGCAGAGTCTGGTCCGCACACATCTGGCAAGTTAGGTATGTCTGAAGCAATCATGTGCATGTCCGAGACGCAGCAAACTGATCTCACAGCTGAGCCTCCAACATGTTCTCCTAATAGCTCTGATGTTGACCAATTTCCAAACTCAGATGCATACCTAGATGAATCCCAAATACTTTTACACAATTGGAAGATAATAATATCGATAAACCACCATCAATATCACTTAATTAGGTTTAATGAGACTATCATCTACCTAGTCAATCTCACAGATCCATCTTCACATCCTGTTGCAATCCAACTAGACCGATCAGATATTTTACGTTCTTCAGAATCAAATCCAGCTTTTGTATCAGCAGAGACGAAGCATAAGGAATGTAATTCTCTTCCATGAAATTGTGTATGCAAATTTAGAGGAAAGACTTGGGTCTTCTGTGCTCCAACCCAGTGTCTATGAATATGAATCACATCATCCTATGAAAGAGAGGGGTGACGATCAATCAAAGACCAAACATTACTACACAGCACACCTATAACTGAGAGACAAAGGAGGTACCTTGACATATGCAAAACAGTTTTGCCTCTCAGGGATGTCCCCGAGATAAAAGGAATGGGGACGGCGCCATCCACCACAAGAGATTTGTGCAACCTATTGTCATAAAAAGTACAGAATATCATTACAGCTCGAATTGAAACTGTGAATAAAATGAGAAGGCAGGGGCGGACCTTAGTTTCAGCTGTTAAATTCCAGATTATAAAATCTGTTGACGCAAAACCGGCTGCATATTCATTCTTTGGATGGTCTTTGGAAAAGTGCACCCCTTGACAAACAGATTGAACTAAGTTCAACTCTTTCAATTGTTTCAAACCCATAAACTCTAAAGTCTGCTTCTCTCTGTCATATTCGAAATAGCATATGCAACCGTCTCCTCCAGTCTGAACATGAGATTTAGGAAAAAGAAAGATCAACAAAATAAAGTCATAGTCTACGTGACAAGAAAATAAAAACTGAGTATTTCATGATATATTCTCCCGATAAACCAAACAACTACCAAGAGCAGAAGATAACAAACGTAGATAAATTAGTCATACCGAGCATATTTCAGCTTTGTTGGAAGTTAATCTAGCAACTGAAAGACTGGAAACAGTTGAGATCCCATGGGCACCTTTGAAATAATTTAGTGAAGGTATCTTCAATTCTGAAGAAATTGGAACTCCGTTCAGCATGTCTTTTGACAGAGGATAGAGTGTAATATTGCCACGTAAATCTCCACAGACAAGCACCTGCAACATAATCATTTCAATACAAATATGAAACTTCACAAGGCTAAGACACAAAAACACAAAACTCTTGGATGCAAACTATTTAGACTTAATCTCTATAAAAAATTCATGATCTTTGCTCTTCATTTAGTTGACCCTAGTGATAATATAATATGGACAGTCCAGTGGTTCAAACTAAAGAGAATAAAGAAAGCGATAGAACCCAGAAACATGGCAATAATAGAAACTGATATTACCTCATCTTCCACTGATGCATCTACACACATTATCCGCATTCCAAAACAAGAGGAGAATTCGGCCAAGAGGGAGACATCATAAGTTTCAACAGCACTAGAAGCAGCAGAAGCTAAAGGACCAGATAGTTTCCACAGCTTCAATAGTCCTCTAGGATTGCAAGAAAAAACAAACCTGGAATCCAGAGACTGAAAATTGTAATCTCAAAATATTTCCAACCAAATGATTCACAAAGTGCATGCCTTATTCGAAAAAAATATTCTTATGAATATTCAGGCCAGACATCCTTTCCATCGATGAGGATATTTACCTATAGCCTAATGATTTGCACCAGAAGGTCCCCAGAAGTTGCCTCTCTGGGCTAGCCTTCCAACTTTGATTCGAGCCCGCAAGTGGGTTATACATATCACCAATAACCCGAACAATTGTCATATTCCCTTTGCCATCTCCAAGAGCAACCCAATCATCTAATGCACAAGACTCGCGTACCTTTCCTCCAGGCAGGACATCCATGGTAATAATAGGCCCCTCTTCAGGTATGCGAACTAATTCGGTCCACCTTACATCTCCCGATGACAATAACATTGCGTGGTACAAGCAACCATGGTTTGTGGCCACATACATGGTATCTTCCTGCGTGAACTGCAAGCACCGTACATACTCGCTCTTGCTGCAAGGGGAAAACAATCATATTTACAATTATACACAAGAAACCCAATATCACCAGCTTATGTACTCATTTGGCGTACCATACCCAAAACCGATTCTGTAGACAGTAAATTTCTGTGAAGGCACATGTAATACCTGTCCATGAGACCAGTATGCTGCGATGAATTTGGGAGGCAGCTCGAAAAAGATTCCACTTTATCTTGTGAGTTAAGCACTCCTACAGTATCCAACAATGTTTCAGACCCACAATTATGCAATTGATGTACTTTGATTGCAGAGTCAAATCCAGCAGTAACAAGAAGGGATGAGTTCGGATCATACAAACATCTCCATATGCCTCTTCCACTGTATAATAAACAATGGCTCTTCATTAGTAATAGCATAAAAGTACAATGTGAATAGTGTGATCGAAAAAAACACCCGAACCACTTACATATGTTCCTTAATCACTTCCAGCTGTGTACCATCCACACCCCAGACACGGCACGTGCAGTCCTCACCAGCAGTGACAATCAACTGAAACAAAAAACATCCAAATTCATAATCTATAAGTTGAATTTTAATGTGCACATCAATCGTATATGATAATAGGTAAGAACAGATTTATGCCTACAAAACTTATGCTTAGAAATTAGAACAGTGACAGTTCTTCATTATAGAACCTGGCTGATAGTTTTCTCACCTCAGAAGCACTGACATTCACATTTTATGATATAAATATAAGCTCTTAGCATAACACTCATATGAATGCAGAAAATGTAAACAAAACTATATTATAAGTCATGTGACCAAAAAAAAAAAACTATATTATAAGTCAAAGAAATCCAAGGTACATACAGAGTCTGAGATGCAGCAGTCCCAAACCCTAACACTGTGACCAAACAGCACAGGGCCAACGACCTCCTGCGAATCAATTTCCCATATCCTAGCACTATAAAAGCAAAAGATTATGCCGTTAGATACATTAACAAAAGTAATCAGAGAAAAGGTGAAGTATCTACGATTAAACACAAAACAAATCTTCACCTACGATCATCAGAGACAGAGACTAGTTTTGATCCATCCAAAGACCAAACAATGCGAAATATTGAACCCTCATGTCCAGTAAGTCTAAGCAAATGCTCATGGTCGAAGCTGTCACCATCAAGACCAGCTGCCCTCCAAACAATGATCTACCAACAACCAGTCAATTCCAGTTACTTAAGCTATCTTAGGCGACAAAATGGAATCGAGAAATGGCAGCAAGACTAAACAAAGAACCAACAGGAAATAGATTAAGCTTTAAAAAAAAATAGCCAACCTCATTGAAAATAGTGCCAGAAGCAATGCGGAGAGTCGAAATAGTGTTGCCCCATAGTCGCATAGTATACAATAAACACCTTTCTGCAACCAAACAACTACTTCAATAAAGAATTGCTCGATAAACTAAAAGCTCTAACTTGAGTAATCAAAACCCTTAAAACCACAGTACCAGTAAAACTAACCAGGTGACTGAATTTCAAAAGCCATACGCGATTCCTTAACATCCCAAATGCAGATAGAATTATCACTACATCCAATAGCTAGAAGCTTATGTTCTTCTTCCAATGAGTCAGTAGAGTCCTATAAACAACCAAAACCCCACACATGAGGAATAAGGATACATTATAAAAATCAAGCAGCAACACACAGAAACGGAGTTTTTTTTTTCAAACCTGCAAGAAACAAACGTCGAAAACCCAATTCCTAAGCCTGGGCAAAGAATCAAATAACTCCAAATTCACGGAGATTTCACTAGGGCTCGATGTTAATTCAACAATCAATGAGAAAATCTTCACTCTCTTCTCTCCGAATACAACAAGTTTATACGTATATCGATCATCCGAACGAACAAAGCTGCTGCTACAAACAGTTCCATGGACGCGAACTCCTTCGAACACTTGAAACGAGCGAATCAACTCACCGGAACTCAAATCGTATAGCAGAATCTCCGAACCAGAACCTAATTAAAGGAAAATCAAACCCTAATCACATCAAAAACTCTTCAAATTTGCAAGCAAAAATCAATCATTACAAATCGAAATTAAAAAAAAAAAACGAAAATGTCTCGTACCAGCGAGAAGATAAGGAATTGAAGAAATTTGTTGAGGAAGATTGAGGAAAGCTAGAGAAGAAACTTCTCCGAGATATGGACCGGCACCAGGATTCCACTTGCGGCGGCTGTTATCTTCCTCCGCCATGGCTTTGCTTCACCAGTGCGGCGGCTCCGACTTGAGTTTAAAAGTTTAGAGGTAACAGAAGCTTCGCAATAGTCAAAGTAAAGTCAACCGAACATATCTGGGAGAAAAGGCCCAATGGGCTATACTAAGTAAAAATGGAAAAAAAACAAATATGCGGTGAGCGTGGATCGAACACGCGACCTTCAGATCTTCAGTCTGACGCTCTCCCAACTGAGCTATCCCCGCTTTTGTTATTTATTAATGACATTAAATACATATTCCTTAAAAACACGTTTATTTTGTTTTATTCGATGAAAGCGATATTACATATATTTATTACAGATAAGATTTTCAGATATCACAACAAGTAATCCATAACGGCTCCTCAAACTGACCTTCAAGCTTGTCACCATCTTGACCGTTCAAACTTAACCCACTCAGATCTAAATCATCCACAGTATGCCACGTGGGAGTACCATCTTCATACCCATTCCACGTCAGCTTCTTCAATCCCGTTCCGTCCACTTTCACCACGTATAAATCACCGTACGGCTGAAACTGATTCGGTATCGCCACCGGCTCCGCCGTAATTCCACCGAGATTCGCCGTGAAAACTAGCCAATCACCGTCCTTATTGAAACTCACGTGATTAACCCTCTCCCTCGCCGCTTCCTCCGACCCTTCCGGTCCCGCGATTTGGATCCTCCTCAAACCTGAACCGTCAGGTCTCACCACGTAAGCACCGAACGCTTCGGTGTTCGTCGGATTGTGACGGTTAGATGAGAATCCGATCAGATCTCCTTTCGGAGACCAGCAAGGCATAGTGTCGATCCATGGACCTTCCGTTAACCGTCGTATTCCACCGCCGTCAGATTCTCCGTTAACGGCATCTATAACATAGAGGTTCTTATGACCAGATCGGCCAGATCGGAACACGACGGATTTACCGTCGGGAGAGCAAGACGGGAAAGCGTTATTTCCGGTGTTGTCTAGAGTGAGAAACTTCACTTCACATGGAATCTCTTCTTTATCGGCGGTGAGATCTGATGGATCGAACTTAACTCGAGCTATCTGAACGGAGATACCCGCCGGACGGAAGATCGGACCGAGAGATGCGTAGATTACATGACGCTCCGTTGGGCTCCACGAATTGTAGAAAGCCGTACGATCTTTGATCAATGTCCATCGTTTCGAACCATCAGATTTAGCGATTTTGATACCACCGTTAATGTCGAAATCGGAATTCAATGCGATTAGATCACCGTCAGGAGATGAAGATGGGAACGATCCGTTTAATCTGAGTAATCGGAGAGTTTTGATTGGAGAGACGATTGATTCTAGATTCGGAACGGTGGATTCGCCTTGAGTCGACTCGCCTCTGAATCGGTGGTAGCCGAGGAACTCCGAATCAAGAGAGACGAAGGGGTTGTAATGGTGGAAACTCGGATTGAGTGGCTCAGTCACTGACTGGAACGTTTTGTGTTGAAGGTCGAAAATCTCGATGTGACGGTGGTTGATGCCGCGACGACGAGTTGCGACGGCGATTCGTTTTCCGTCGTGGAAAGCAGCTGGAGTGAAGCAATGGAGTCCAGGAGGAGTGACTCTGATCGGTTCGATCGGAAAATCCTTGAAATTCACCGGTAAATCCACCCGGAAAATGCTCCACCAACCGTCGTCAGCTGGGTGGTGGAAGAAAACTGTTGAATCGCCGGACCAACTCGGCCAACCACCGCGCTCACAAACGACCACTCTCTTCTCCGGCTCAGAAGCTCTGAAAACAGCAATATCAGTATTGATCTCGTGAAATTCACCACCCCAAGAGCGAGATCCATAACTCGCGACGGCGAAAAACTCTCCCGATTTCGAAACCGCCGGACTATAATCGGCGGTGTCTGACGGAGTGACACGTGTGATTTCTCTCTCATCGCCGTCGAGCTTCATGGTGTAAAGAGCGGTCCAGTTCTTGAAATGACGATCAGGTTGCTCGTGAGCAGAGATGAAATAGAGTGTGTTGTTTTGAGTAACAATTGGACGGTCGTGGAAGAAGCTTCCCGGAGCTCCGGGAAGCTGCTCGGGTTTAGAATTTCCGGGTCGGGTTCTGTAAATCCGGGCTGAACCGGCTCGTTCGGAGACGAAGACGATGTTGTTACCGTCGGTGAATTGAGCGTTGAAGTTAACGGAGACGCCGTCTGTTAAACGGCGTTCGACGGCGGAGGAGATGTGGAGAGAGAAGACGTCGAAGCCGTAGTGAGTGCGACCAACGGTGGTGAAGATGATTGTGCCACGTGGAGTTTCCATTGCCGGGAATTTGATGATTAGGTCGATGGTACACGATTGGAGTATTTATAGAGGGTTGATGACGTGGCGATAGTGTTTTAACTATTTGACTGTGTGTGTGAACGGAACAAAATGATCCTTGAATACGTGAAAAATCGACCAAGAAGAGATTCATGTACGGAAGAGAGTGTGAGAAAAATGGTTTTGATTTTATAGGTAAATGTTTTGTCAATTGAACAATTTACTCGCTTATATACAATTAGTAGTACGTATTTTTGAAAATCACAAATTT